AAGAACTGAAATTTTTGGAGCGTATTCAACTGTGAGGCCTGAAATTGGTAGTGTACTCGTACAAACCCACACCCATACACTCCAATACACACACACACTTACACACACACACACACACACACACACACACACACATTTTAGAAAGGAACTGTGAGCACCCACTGTAAAGGGAAGCAATCCTCTTATTTATGTTGGAACTATTTGTGCTTGTTATTCCCCGTGACGAAGAGCTGTCCTCTCTCAGGACAAACCTGACGGAAGCAGTAAAGGTTGTAATCATTGTGAGGGATTGTAAGCGCAAAGCTTGTTATGTTTCATGTCCACATGGATGAAATTTAGATCAATTAGGAGGCAGGTTGCCATAAGCATGTCTGTCTTGGCCAACCTGAGATGAGAAGGATAAAACATCCCTAGAGACAGAAGAATATATTCGATAACAAACTCGACTCCACATATAGGATTAGGAATCGAACTCACGACTTCTGGGAGGGGAAAAAGCTATGTAATTGCAGAAACTTTACGCCATCATCGGCACAGCTTAAATAAGCGGGTGGTTGTGTTCTGGTGTGGTTTGCTCCTTCTTTCCTGTCAAACATCTGGGCCCTATCGTCCTTACATCTCCCCCTTCTTTTTTGTGCTTGCTACTCTCTTGTAAAGCTCCGAATCTTTGGCACTTATATGACCTTATTGTGATGCAAGTGCAGTAAAACTTCTACTAACACACACACACACACACACACACACACACACACACACACACACACACACACACACACACACACACACACACACACACACACACACACACACACCCGCACGCGCGCGCGCCCCTCCACTACAAATCCACCCACCCAAGTCTGTTTCGTAAGTTTCTCTTCTGTCTTTTCGATTTCGCCGTCAGGTTACTGCGTTATTTATTTTGAGTACACATTTCAACGTACTATATAGATCTGGGCCTGCGCATAATAAGCTTACCTCAGAGATTTGATAAGCTTAGCCCAGTTTATATTGTTAAATTTGTTTTGGGTTTGATCAATTTATTTAAAATTTGATTAGCTTATTAAGGAATGTAAGTTAGATTTGTAACGTTCAATAATTTGCAAGGATAGCTTTTTTTCTGCCAATACCTTTTGACCTACTGGTCGTTCATCTTACCCTTTTAATTAACTTATGTCTGATATGTTGATAGAGGTTACTGTTATTTTGTAAAATCAATCTCAAATGAAATTCGTTTCGTCTTTTGTTGGCATTTGTACTTTGGCTAGTTTTGATAGTGCAATGGAAGTTCAACAAACTTAGTCTGTGCCGATCACTTAATATCATCATAGGTCGTGCGATGTGGTGTAACTCTGATTCACTATGGAGCACACTATTTGGCTCAATTTGGGCAAGGGGAAAGATGTCGAGCACTCACCAAGATCCGGGTCTTTGCCCATCAGATGGCTTCCTATGATGTGCATGCTTCGCAATTTTTATTGAGAGCAAAGGGTGGCAGCCACGGCAATGCAAGATTTGGGATACTATTATTGAAATTCATGTCTATGGTGTTAACTTTTAGTTGTATTTTAGATGAAGTTTTTGTGCTTTAACTTAGAATGGACAATGATTTTAGTGACATTTCTCCTCGGAGTTAAGGTGAGTATCATGCTGTTTTTTTGTGGTAAATTCTGGGTGCTGTTTATTTAGCTGGCATCATACTTGTTGAATGATCCTAGTTTGAATACCTAGTACAGCATTTTCGGGTTTTGGCTTGTGGTTGAATTTCAAGGTTCCTCGCCTCTTTGCTGGTTTCTATTGAAGACGAAAAATGTGCACTTTTTAAAACCCGCCATTATGATCACCAAGTTTTTTGTCAGTAATCTTAGTTTTCTGTTCGAATATTCAAACCAGCATCTGTGGCACAGCGTTTATGCGCTTTGTCGTCGTACGCAGAAGACCCGCGTTCGATTTCCGTATGTGGACAATAAAAAAAAAAATCGAGAACCATATCCTGGTCTTTCTGCTATGACGTTGTATCGCCATCAACCCGAGTTGTTTCTAATTTGAAGGATCGTAGCCTGCCCTCCAAAAGGTCTAAACTGTGTCGTTGGGGTCACAAAAACATCTACACTTATACATTTCACAATTTTTTGACTGTTCTGGAAAAGATTACCTGTGATATGGGGATGCCAAACATACCATAATATCCAGTGCACATTGCCGAAAATTTTATCAAACATTACTTTATATGGTTTGATACAGACTTTTCTTTATTTAGGGACAAAAGCTATCATTTTGGCAAAATTTAATAAAATCTGTTCCATTGTCTAGCTGACGATTGGCTTCAGTTTGATCAAATCGTTGCACACAACCAATCTGGAAGGTTAGTACCTGCCTCATGAAATTGTGGGGTTATATATTTTTTTGTCTACGCACAACAGCGATAGGCCTGATTGGATTTCTAGATTAAATTTGATGAAGCAAAGCAGATGCCAATTTGATATTATAAACAATGTATTATCTAGAGTGAAATGGCCAGCGCCATTACCCGCCCCGCCCCAGTGTGAACTAATCATGTATTTGACAGACTTGCAACCGTTCCTAGAATGACTCCGTTGGCTAAGCTGGTATGGACTGCGGAGCGGGTGACCTTGGTCCGAATCCCAGACTGATGGGTGTTCTCGAACTAGGGTCGTTTTGTGGAATCTTCAAGGCTCTCAACCCAACTGGCTCGGTCCTATCAGGGTAAGACGTCAAATTCGAAGGTCTCACCTCATAAACAGCCTTATTATATTGATAATGGGTGGGCTAGATTTTAAAGGCTAGTGTAATTCGCTCCAAAATAATTATAGCTCATTGTCCATGAGGTCAAATGGCCAATGGTCCCATTATCAAAGGTAACTTTTTACTCTTGGAACAAAATGAACCGTATTCCCTTGTTAAAAGCGTGTTCGTAAAACAAAACAAAACAAAACAACCCCCCCCCCAAAAAAAAACACGCAAAAAACAACAACAAATAAAACAAGACAAAACAAGACAAAACAAGCCAACAACGACAACCACCACTACCACCACCACCACTACCACCACCACCAACACCACCACCACCACCACCACCACAACAACAACAGCAACAACAAAAATAACAACAAGACAAAACAAGCCAACAACGACAACGACAACAACACCAACACCAACACCAACACCACCACCAACAAAAGCAGCAAAAACGACCCCCCCCCCATCATATTCTTTCGATTTTCAGTTCTGTCTTCAATTCTCATCTTCCTCCCTGCACATCCAATTACGGTTAATATTTTCAGAGTCAAGGTAAAAGCGCTTATGGAAGAAAGGACCTGGACTGTTACAAAATAGGGTGGAATTAAGGTTTCGTCAAAGGTGAAAGTAGTTTGTTTTCATTTCACAATTATCAGACCCAATTTCGGAAATACAACAAACAAACAGCCCCCCCCCCCCCAAAACAAACAAACAAACAATCCCGACAAACAAAACAACAACAAAAAACCAACCCCACCAAAAAACAAACAAAACAAAACAATAACAACCCCCCCCAAAAAAAGTAACAAAAAACAACCCCAACCTCCCCCCCCCAAAAAAAATAATAAATTAACTAATCGAAAAAGCTCAAACTAGTTGCTGCAAAATTTGTGACTTTGAGGATTGGGGAATACGCTTTTATTATTTTTTAAAGTCAAAACTACTCAGTCAGAACCTGGAATGTTACATTGGATCCCCTTTAGTTTTCGGTCAATGACAGCGGCGGATACACATTCCTTTCTGTTTATCATTGCAATCTTTTCTATCGGTCTTCAGGTGTGTTTGTAGGTTTTCAGGTGTGCTCGTATGCAGTTTCCTTTCACGCTTCTTTCTCCTTTGGTGGAAATATTTTTGTCGCTCCCCCCCCCCCCCCATCTCCACGTTACATTCTCCTTCCTCTCTCATCTCTTCCCCACCCATTCTCTCTCTCTCTCTCTCTCTCTCTCTCTCTCTCTCTCTCTCTCTCTCTCTCTCTCTCTCTCTCTCTCTTTCTCTCTCTTTCATTCATTTCTAGAGTTAAACGTCACTTTAAGTACACAATAATACGTTTTGACAGAGAGATGGAATGGTTATGTAGTGCTGGACTGGTTCGCAAACGCCCCCCTCCTTTAAAACCAAAACAAAGAAGCTAAACTCTCCCCCTCATTAAGCTAAACTGACTCGCGCACACACACATACACACACACACACACACACACACACACACACACACACACACACACACACACACACACACACAGAGAGAAACACACAGAAAATAAAACTCCCACACATTTTGACAATCGCACAAACGGACCAAACTATCGAAGGGTTGATTCAGATTCGAACCAAGACCAACCCCAGACAATCAGTGCATGTAAATCAAAATTAAAAACCACTGAACACTGTCCAGACACGTGGATATTGCTATTGATTCGGTTTACATTTAGGTACGAACCCCATTCGCTCGCTACTGTCTTGTTCCAGTCATCTGCGAATTTAGCCTCAGCGTAAAATTAAATTAGAAGTAGATCCGAACCAGGGCTCCACGTTCCGCAGTCTAGCGAGTACTTCTGAGTAAAAGCAACCGTCACCCCTCCCTTCCCACACACAGAGACACAAGCGAATATTTTGAACTGAGCCCCCCCTCCCCCCTACACATACAGGGGAGTATTTTCAAGTAAGTCTCCCCACCACCCCCATACGCCAATTCCAATCTGTTTGCACCTGCAAATCTAGCTAACCACGTCACTACTATTATTGAATCTTCTCTGCCACTTTCGCTCACGCTCTGCATTCCCCTCCATAGTCCCCCCCCCCTGCCCCCAACCACCTTTCGATCTGCTCGCTCACCCTTCACCGGACACATCACACCCCCTCCCCCCTTCCCTAGTCCACTCACTCAGCCACAGCCTACACCTCTCTCGCGCGCTTTTCAGACTGTGCTTTGGATTGCACGTGCGTGAATTACTGGCGGGCGGCGACAGGCGCTCGTGTGTTGGGAGCGGGACCGTTTGGGGATGGGAACATCATGAGACATAAAGTCGGTGAAATTCCATGGGAGACTGCAAGTTGTCTGTTGCACCTGAAGAACAAAGCGCGTTACTTCGGACAAAAAGGCCGATACACGTGAATTGAGGAAAGTTCTCTGTACTGTACCTAAAAGTGCTACACACTTTATTTCGGACATAAAGGTTGCTACAGGTGAATTGAAGCAATTTCTCTATCATAATTAATAATAATAATAATAATAATAATAATAATAATAACAGTACCTAAAGAACGAAGCAAACAATAATAATAATAATAATAATAATAATAATAATAATAATAATAATAATAATAATAACAATAACAATAATAATAATAATAATAATAATAATAATAATAATAATAATAATAATAATAATAGATCTAATAATAATAATAATAATAATAATAATAATAATAATAATAATAATAATAATAATAATAATGATAATGATAATAATAACAGTACCTAAAGAACGAAGCAAACAATTTCGAACACAAAGACCAAAACACAGTGAATTAGGGAAAATTCTCTACGCTGTATTTAAAGATCATCTCAGATTTGTCCAAGCACAAAGGTTAACATAAAGTCAGTTGTAGGGTTATACAGCATTCTGCTATTTAAAAACATACATAATAAATGAATAAGAGCACGGTGCAACAGATACGATTTGTAGTTTATTTCTGAAATAGTTAAGATGACGTAAAATCAGTGAAATTCCAGAGGAGACTGAAGGCTCTCTGTAAGCTTACCGTACTTTAAATTAAAACATACATCATGCCGGAGATTAAGACCAACGCACATTGAATTAGGAATAAAGCAATTAATCAACTTTCTGGTGAATTTTACATTAAAACAACAACAATTATAATTATTTCCTCCCTCCCAGTGAAGCAGACACGAATTTTACAATATTTCCGAAAGAGGAAACATGTTTCTACAGACAGAATACTCGGATACCCTGAATACATGCTAACTGTTTGACAAGTTGTTTTTTTTTCTTTGTCGACGTACTAATTCCTTGAGCATAGAATCAGTGCAAGTTCCGCGCACACGTGAAGCGCGAGTGGACGGAGGACGTGGATTTATCTGTCACTTTTCATCGTTATAGAGGACTGATCAGGTACGTTTGTGTGTCATGTCAGGCGTAAAAAAAGTAGGAATTGTGTTCTTACTTTAGAATTCTTTAAAAGATAAATATAGGTATATCTGTTTAATTGTCAAATGAGGTCTTACAAAGCTATCGTCTCAGGTTGTTTTGCATTCCGAAGATGTGATGATTAAAAATAACGACAACAATAACAACAACGACAACAATGATAATAATGATACCAACAAAAACAGCAGCAACAACAATAATTATAATAATAACAATGATAACAATAATAATAATAATAATAATAATAATAATAATAATAATAATAATAATAATATTATAATAATAATAATAATAATAATAATAATAATAATAATAATAATAATAATAATAGAAAATAAAATAATAGCAACAACATTTTTGGCGCCCAACTTCGATTAAAAAACCCAGGCTTAGATTACTTTATGTAAATATAAGCTTACGTGTAGAAGCACGTACACAGTGCATTGTGTTCTTACTTTAGAATTCTTTAAAAGATAAATATAGGTGTATCTGTTTAATTAAAAAGTACAGTAATAAGCGAAACAGAAAATTTGGAAATGGGAAATACGTGTACGTGCTGTTTAGGCTATTTGCTTTGAACGAAAATAAATGAAAAAAAAATAGATTAAACAAAATATAATTATTATCACTCCAAATTTAACCAGACTTTGTTGAATGTGTTTTCTTATAATTTATTTCAGTTAAATGCAGATTCGTCCAAACAGCATTGACTATAACTTATCAGGGAACAAAAACTTTCTGTCAACATCTACAAATTGTATCGCCATAAATGCTGTCTCAAACTGATATGTCATATCTATCATATCTGTAGAACTGACTAACACTGCAACGATTTCTTTCAACATCTTGTTTCAAGTTGAATTCAGAGCAACGCTTTATTACTTTATGATCAACGTCGGAGACATCCTTTAGGATTTTTTACGGACATAAAAAGTTTTTGCATCAGTATCATTTGAAATTTCTAAAGTCACGTGACGCATGAAAAGAATAACTCAGGGAGGGTGTGGGGAGCTCACGTGGTCTAGAGGTTACGGTGTTCGCCTCTCATTTAATAGGTCCCGGGTTCGAAACCTGACAGCGACGGAAAGTTTTCGTCTCTAGAATTTTCTCCTTTCATCTCCTTTCCTGCTCCCTAAACATGTTCTGTCGAGTGCTTTCGTCTCCACTTTCTGCCCCCCCCCCTCCTTCCCCTATGCCCCCTCCTCTGGGCTTCTGACTCTTTATGCAGCCTTTTTACTACTACTCCTTTACTCCTTTATATTGCTGTCTTTCAGCCACACCCCTGATCTTATGGTAGGTAAGATCTACATCTAGCCTTCTCGGACGAAGGAGAAAAATCTCGGAGGTCTCGTGTGCAAGTTGAAGATCCGTTGGTGGTCCCAAAAACTGTAAGAGTAGGCTTCGACCGCCACCCGTGGGCAAAAAAACAACAACAACTAAACTGAACATATTAAATGCGTCCCACGCGCTTATATGACCTTGTGCAGTTGCGAACGTCGTAAAACACTTACCAAAACAAGGGAGGGTGTCTCAAACTCGCAGCCCGCGGGCAAATAATTGTGGACGGAGAAAGATATTTTGCAGCCCTTACTTGACATCACATGTTGGTGTTTGTCAGACCGCTCGATTTTTTCACAGCCGTGTAAGATCGATGTAAAAAAAGAAAAAAAAGTGTTTCCAGGTCTCTGGCAGCAACTAGAGGTAGGTAAAAGACGCTTATGTTCTGAGAACCTTTCATGTTCTCAACGGCTATTAATATAGACTGAGTATAGATTCAATTAGCTGTACTTAGTAAAAAAAAAGTGAAATATTTGTCTTTAAGTGGAATACTTCATAATTATGACACACTCAGGCTCACCTAGACTCTGTCTGCAGCAGCCCCGGGGTAATTTGAGTTTGAAATCCGGTTGAGAGTATTTGTAACACATGCTTGTGACTGTAAGAGCCATACGAAAAAAAGTGTAGTAAAATGGTAGGTCAGCAAAACAAAGTAACAAAGCGACATAAACAGTAATAGTAGTGGCAGTAAGCACAGTCAACATCATCCTCCTCCTCATTATGATCATCTGCCATTTCCACCTTATTATTGTTATAGACCGCCACGAAGGGTCCCTCACCTGTCTCTGTTCTGGGCCATCTTCTCCTCCTCTAGCCAGCTATACCCCACTATGCCTGAGATCTGTCTCCACGTCTCGTTCCCAGGTGGATCTCGGCTTTCTTCTCTTCTTCCTTCCCTAAGGACTGCAACTTAGGCTTTGGCTTGTCACATTGTGGGCTGGTTTCCCAAGCGGGTGCTCAATCCATCGTTAACCTTTTTTTCTTGAGCTCACGGTCAATTGGTTGTTGTTTGGTTCGCCTCTATAATACGGCATTTCTAATGGTGTCCGGCCTGTCGATTTTCACGATCTTCCTAAGTCAGCCATTGATGAAAGGCTGTCATTAGATTCCATGAAGTCACCGTCCAGCATGACAAGACTTGTGTTGACAATAGTGGAAAACGTTTAGAACAATTTTACAACAAAAGAAACATCTCACGCTATTTCTTCCCCACCAAATAAACACAACCTTCTTCAGAAATAAGTTGCCCCGTTTTGTGCATTCTAAGTCAGATTTAAGAAAACACACAATATGTATCCCAAACTCTCCCCAAAATTCTAGTAGTTACCAGCAACATTATATAATATACAGTTTTATGTTATTCCCCCCCCCCAAAAAAAAAGTCTCAATACAACAACAAGCAAACAAAAACACGCAACAAACAACAAATTAACAACCCACCCACAAAACAACACACTACCCGCTGTGTCATGCCCCCAGGACAGCCTGGCAGGGATCCAGAGTAAGCGCCAAAAAAAAAGAAAAATGAAACACACTCAACACTAAGATTAACATGCACATTATTTCCAACATTAGGGCATCATCATCATCATCATCATCATCATCATCATCATCATCATCATCATCATCA